GGTTCTGCTACTATAGGGGAGCTTTGAACAGGAATGCACTCGAATGGAGTTCTGTTGGCAAAACCCTGAAGCATAGACTAGGCTATAGGTTGGATTCAGATGGACAATGGGAGAGGCTCTGTACCCAGTGAGCTCCAACTGACAGAGGGATTTACTAAATAGTGATCGACTTAATGAAGGGACTAGTAGGCCACAATACCGTTCACCATATTAGTACGGCTCCCTTGAATCCCTAATTATGGGGATCTGCCTGGGCCCTCCTCCTCACCAATTACCAGTTAGCCTGTGAACAGGTTCAGAATCAGTCCTGGAGGCTTGTAAGTTACTCAACAATCACATACTCCACAGAATCAGTCCAAGCTATAATTTGCCTAAGATGTTAGCAAAGCACTTCTCCCCCTCAGGCCTGCAGGTGTAATGAGCTGCAAACAGTGCTCCTTGTCCACTGTCTACCTCAGCAGGTTTGCCTACAGGAACAAGAGAACCAACAAGTACATCTCCGCAGCTCAGACTCAACAAAGGTTGTGGGAAGGATTTCTTATTTTTTATGGGTCCTTGGAAGGTAAACATCCTCCGTTATCTTCACACTGGTGCCTGGCCAAAGGGGTGTGTTGCAACAACAAATCACAATTGGCACTACAGAAAGTTATGTGGATTGGCAGCTTTGGAATGGGGAAAATATCTTGTTTTCCCCTCTAAATTGTCTATCTAACCAGAGACCAGGGCCAGTACACATGTCCCAAGCCACCCAAGAGCCAGAATTCTAGCAATCAGGCAGGAGTGAGAGTTTATTTTGACTGCAGGGGGTCGTCTCTTTTTTCCCACCCACCCCATGCATGCAGAAAGCTAAGTGCAGTGCAAACCACTAATGACCTTCTGCATTCTTTGCTTTTCCAATGCAGATAATAGCACAGCAGGCTTTCCTTATAGTAGAGTACCACCAAGAACAGGGATCCTGCCAGGAACAAGGGGAAAATCCCCACTACTGCTCCCGACTACAGACCCTGCCTCAACTCTGCAACCAACTGCGTTCTGACCACTGCACTGCAATCTAATAAATTATACACCAGCTTTAGATACTAGATGCACTGAGTGCAAAGAGCTTCTTTCTGCCACTTCTAGTGGAGCAGGCTAATTTGGCCAGGATCTTCTACAGTCCTTTTCTACAAAATTTTGCAATAATTTAATGGGCTCCTCTAATGAGCAGCATTGTACAGTGCATTTTAGCTGACAGCAAATGACTGCAGAGGGAAAACAAGGAAAGCCAACTACTCCATCTCCCCATCCATAAAGTGTTGTTCCCTATGTTTCCCAAGGCAGCTCACCACTGCTCAGCATTTTTACTTGGAAGTTGGGATGCTGTGGCATACTGGACTGTAATAATCACTGCCTTCCCCTAGTGGGTCCTAAACAGAGCCTCCAAGACAACAGTTAGCAATGCCGGACGCAGTTTTATGGAAACAGCCATATGGAAACAGATCCATACATGAAAGCTCAGACAAGCCCAGGATACTTGAGTCCCCTGCCAGCGCACTGCAGAAACAGTTCCAGCGATTCCAATGTACAGATTTCCACCTGCTCTTTCTACCTCCTATTTTTCCCTTGCAGAAAGAGAAGGCATCTAAAAGTGAACAGGACAGCTAGCAACCCTGACAAATACTGCAATAGAGGGCTGCAGTGCAAGTTTAAGTCATCTTTAAGATGACTGTAAAGCCCCATTCTTCCACCCTTAGTAAGGAAGATATTGGGTGCTCTCTTACTCAAGCACACTTGGCATCCATTTACAGTGTGTTGGGGATACCATGTGCTCGTAGGAACACCCCCAACCTTGCTCCGGCCAGAAATGGATGAGTTATAGGCTTTTCCCATGGATAACCAAAAGCAGCATGCCCAGGTCTCCTCTCCCAAACTAAAAACCACTGGCTACCCCAAAGGGAAAGGCACAAGCCCTGAATGTGATTTGGCTTTACCCCTGCAGTCTGCTGGTAAATTGAACAAGGCCCCCATAAACCTCAGCCTAAGGACTCTTTAAGGCTTGGCTGTTCTCAGTTTCCCTCCTCCAAGGTTGTCAAGGGCCATTTCTACCATCCCTTATATTCTGGGTGGAGTAAAGTCTGCCACCACCATGAGTCAGCAGCTCACTGCAGAGCTCATCACCTGCTGCTACCCCTCCAGAGCGCTTCAGTGGAGACCCCTCTCCCAGACCCCAACACTAGCTGAAACTGCACCTGGCTCTGCTCCTGGGGACTGAATTAGAGACCAGGAACCACGTGTGTGCCTCCCCCGCTCCTCCTCGTGCTCTGGGTTTGGCTCCTTCCCCTGTTAATCCAAGCCTGTCACACCACCGGGGAGGGAATGCTGCCAGGGATGTGCATCTGGAAGGGACCGCAGCTGCCAAGCGTCTCCATGGGTCCTGCAGGGCGCGGAGCCACCCCGTCAGCACTGCGTGCGAGGCGCCGGCGGCGGCCCGGGCCCTGCATCAGTCTCACACAGGCCAGGCAGCGCGGAGAGGGGCTGCCCACAAGCCCGGCTGGCACCCCGCGCCTCGCTGGCGGAGGCCCCACAGGAGGGATCCGCAGGCGGGCGGGAGAGCGCTCCCTGCCGCCCGCGCCACAAAGGGCCCCGCGCGGCCCAGCCACATGGCC